CTAGCTAGCTAGCTAGCTAGCTAGCTAGCTAGCTAGCTAGCTAGTTGGCTAACTAACCAACTAGCTAGCTAGCTAGCTAGCTAGCTAGCTAGCTAGCTAGCTAGTTGGTTAGTTAGCTGGCTAGCTAGCTAGCTGGCTAACCAGTTACTTGGTTAGGTAGCTGGCCAGATAGCTAGCTAGCTAGCTAGCCAGTTAGTTAGTTGGCTGGCTAGCTAGCTAACCAGCTAGTTAGTTAGTTAGCTGGCTAGCTAGCTGGCTAGGTATGTGTGCTCTAGGTACGCAGCTAGCCGCTGTGTTACCTACTTTGGTAGCTAGCTGGATGCCCAGACAGGTAGCTAGCTAGCTGGCTAGCTAGCTAGCCGGCTAGCTAGCTAGCCAGCTGCGCATGCATGCGCAACTAGCTAGCTACCTGCAGACCCAGCTAGCCAGCTAGCTGGTCGCGTTTAATGTTGCACTTTTAAATTGGATTAAATGAATTTAAAATTTTCCTTTTTTTGCTGTTCAGTGCTGGAGGTGTACGTACACTTCGTTGCATGCGCCGCTTTTTTTTATTCTTCGATTCTTTTTGATTCTTTTCTTTAATTGCTTTTTACTTATATTCATTTATCAATTTTCATTTATTTATCATTGTTTATTTTTATTTATTTATTCTTGTTTATTTACTTTTTTTTTGTTTCATTTTCTTTTAATAATTTTTTCCGACCCTTTGCAGTTGGGTGAAACTCGGGTGTACGTACACCTCAGCCGCCCGCGCAAACGCGAATTTGCATGCAGACAAAAATAAATCAAAAAGAGAAAAAATAAAAATAAATGAAAATATAAATGAAAATAAAACAAAATAAATGAAAACAGAATAATATAATTGAAAATAAAGAAATAAAAATGCAGTTTAAATGAATTTGAATTCAAGTCAAGGAGAAGCGGGAAAGCGGAAAGAAATTAATTGCAATTTATTTCTTTTTTATTCAAAATTAATTCAAAAAATAAAATAAAGGACAACAAACAAATGAATAAATAAATAGAATTCAACAAATAAACAAATTCGTCAAGAAAAGGTGAAACTGCCGCAAATTTTGACCCTGGTAAACCCTAAACCCCTGTAAACCCTAAACCCTCGTAAGCCCTAAACCCTCGTAAGCCCTAAACCCTCACAAACCCTAAACCCTTTCTCTCTGGCTGACATCTTAGCTCGACGACAAGCAACGAACCCTAAACCCCAAACCCTAGGCCCGAAAACCCCCACGACAAACCCTAAACCCTAATCCATAAACCCTGAACCATAAACCCTAAACCCCAAACCCTAAACCCTAAACCCTAAAGTTAAAGTTCCTGTTAATGAACAAAAACCCCTCAAAAAGCAAGTACTGCCTGAGGTGTATGTAGACTAGACCATTTGATGGGCTTTGCTGCATCAGATTTTTAATTTTTAACTTTATTTAAGTTAAAATATAGTTAAATTTATTTATTTATTTATTTATTTGTTTGTTTATTAAATTTTATTTAAACAAAAACATGATTAATTAAATTTATTTATTTCTCAATTAAAAAGAAATATCCTGAAATTAATTTTCTGTAAAATGATTCCAAATTTTACTTTTTAGTGTTCAAAACCCTTTATGGTGAACAGCGGAAACAACCAACTCTTCAGGGGCTAGGGTTTAGGGTTTAGGGTTTAGGGTTGCGTTTAGGGTTTAGGGTTTAGGGTTTAAGGGGTGGAGAAGGAGTGTGTGCTTCACCCTTCCAAGCTCCGTTTTTATTTTCATTTATTTATTAATTTATTTAATTTTTATTTTTATTGTTTACTTATTTAATATGCTGGCGAAATGCCGCTATACATCAGCAGCAGCAGCAGCAGCAGCAGCAAGCAGCAGCAGCAAAAGCAGCAGCAGCAGCAGCATGCAGCCCTGGGGCTTCCCTTATTGTGCTGCTGAGTCTTCTTCCACTGAAACTTAGATAATAATTTATTATTTTATTTTTAACTTAGCCAAACTTTCGAGAGGGCCCACAAAACCCTAAACCCTAAACCCTAAACCCTAAACCCTAAACCCTGAAGGGTAGCAGAAGCTCGTAATGGCCGTTTGAAAGTAAATTGAAACCTCACTTCACCGACAAGCCCCGCAGACAAAAGCCCTAATTTAGGGTTTAGGGTTTAGGGTTTAGCGTGTGTGGTTGAGGTTCTAGGGTTTAGGGTTTAAGAAGGGCTCCTGGACCCCACCAGCCCCAGCTGCCCTCCAGCAGCAACCCCCCACAGCAGCAACAGCAGCAACAGCAGCAGCAACAGCAACAACAGCAGCAGCAACAACAACGGCAGCAACAAGAACAACAGCAGCAGCAACAAGCACAACAACAGCAACAACAACAGCAGCAGCAGCAAGAGCAGCAGCAGCCGGAACAGCAGCAGCAGCAGCAGCAGGCGCAGCAGCTGCAGCAATCCCGAAATGAGCGAGAGCACCATCAGCAGCAGCAGCAGCAGCAGCGGGCTGTCCGCGGCTTCGCGGGAGCTGCTGCGGGTGCTGCACGGGCAGGGCGTTCTTCTGTTTGGCAACTTCACTTTGAAAAGCGGAAGGAAATCTTTTTTCTTTTTTAATTCCGGGAAAATAAACGATGGAAAGAGTTTGCGAGCAGCAGCAGAAGCACTGGCGAGCTGCCTATACACCCGAAACCTGCGCTTCGACCTGCTCTTCGCGCCCGCCTACAAAGTCCGCTTCCGATTTTCCTCGTTTGGCCGCCATTTTGCTTCCTTTTGCATTTATTTTGTTTTGTTTTATTCTTTTTTTCCTTTTTTGTTCTTTATTTCGTCTTTTTCCCGCGCTTTCCCGGCTTCTGGCGGCCGAGATCGCGGCGCGGCGCCTCTGCGCGCGGCCGCCGGGTGTACGTACACCTCAGGTCTCGCGCGCTCTTCTCTCGGGAAACGCTTTCAAATCCGAATTAATTTAATTAAATTTATAATTAAGTTATAAATAATCATAAATGAAGATTAATAAACTCGTAAATCAGAGCATTTAATTCATGCAGATGCGCCGAAGGCCTCACTCTTCTCCAGTTCCTCGTTTCACCGGGAAAACCCCATCCAGGGTTTAGGGTTTAGGGTTTGGTTGTTGTTCGTGCACTGAGCGGTAAACAGCAATGCGGTGACACGCGTGAAGATGCGCAGCGAGGGTTTAGGGTTTAGGGTTTGGGGTTCGGCGTGTGGTGTTGGGGTGTACGTACACCTCAGGGCATCCCGCTGGTGTGCTGCACCGCCGTGGCGCTTTCATATCTTTTTAATTTAAAAGTTCCTTTTCTCTTCGACAGAAAAGAAGAAAAGCAACACGGAGAGGGAGGCGCCTTCATTGGAGCCACCGAGCTGCTGCTGCAACACACCAGCAGCAGCAGCAGCAGCAGCAGCAGCAGCGGAGCCATCGAAGCAGGCCAGACCGAGCCGCAGCAGCAGCAGCAGCAGCAGCAGCAGCAAAGGGAGGTTCGCGTGGTGTTGTTGGATGATGTTTTGACTTCTGGAACAGCTTTAAAAGCTTCCATTAAAAAGATAAAAAGTGCAGCAGCAAATTGTTCTGTTGCTGCTGCTGTTGTGCTGCTGGACAGAGAAGAAGTGGCGGAGGGTGAGGGGAAAATAAAATAAATTAATTTAATTCATTTAATTAAATTAATTAAATCAATTTAATTAAAGTAATTTAATCAAATTAATTAATTTAATTAAATTAAATAATTAAATTAAATTAAATTAATTAAATTAATTAATTGTATTAACTTAAATAATTAAATTAAATTAATTAAATTAATTAAATTAATTTGTTTTGATTTAGCTTGATTTGTCTGTAAGCAGCAAAAAGTATCAATTTGGCAATTTATTTGATTTGTTTTGAATCATTTTAATTTGTTTTATTTTTAATTTATTTTTAATTATTTTAATTTATTTTTAATTAATTTAATTTATTTTTAGTTAGTTTAATTTATTTTTAATTAGTTTAATTTGTTTCAATTTAATTTTATTTGTTTTTAATTCTATTTAATTTAATTTAATTTAAATTGATTTAATTGAATTCTAATAATGATGCAAAAGATTAAAAATGATAAAACAAATAACAAAATAATAATAAAATAAATAAAATAAAAAGTAAATAAATAAATAAGGTAATGAAAAATAAAACAATGCAATCTGCAGATAATGGAAAAAGAAGAAAGCTAAAGAGCAGCGAATGAGGAAAGAAAGAAAATGACAGCAGCAGCAGCAGCTGCTGCTGCTGCTGATGCTGCTGCTGCTGCTGCTGCTTCAAAACGAAGAAAGAATGGAAGCAACAATAAAACAATGAATATAAAGCAATAATGGTAATAATAAAAGACAGGAATGAAATGTAAAAGAATAAAACCAAATTGAAAGGCAAAAGAAGAATGCGTTTGCTGCTGCTTCGCAGGCAGCAGCAGCAGCAGCAGCATTTCTGCTGCTGCAGCACTGGAGCAAGAGTTCAAAATCCCAGTAATATCTCTTTTGAAGATAAATGAATTGCTGCTGTTTTTAGAAGAATTAATTGCAGAAGAAATAAATCCAGAAAAGAAAAAAGAACTGCAGCAGCAGCTAACCCTCATGCAGCAGCACAGGCAGGTCTACGGCGCCCACAAACCCTAAACCCTAAACCCTAAACCCTAACCCTGCGCCAGTGGCCTTCAAACCCGCTGAAGGCAGCTGCAACAGCAGCTGCAACAGCAGCAGCTGCAACAGCAGCAGCTGCAACAGCAGCAGTGGCTGCAGCATAAGCAGCGTCAGCAGCAGCTGCAGCATTAACGGCTGCTGCAGTGATGTGCTGCATCAGCAGCACCTGCAGTGTCAGCTGCAGCAGCAGCAGCACCAGCAGCAGCTGCTGCTGTGCTGCATCAGCAGCACCTGCAGTGTCAGCTGCAGCAGCAGCAGCACCCAGCAGCAGCATCAGCAGCTGTTGCGGCATCAGCAGCAGCTGCAGCACCAGCAGCTGTTGCGGCAGCAGCAGCTGCTGCAGCATCTGCAGCATCGGCAACTGATGCGGCAGCAGCAGCAGCATCACATGCAACTGCTGCATCAGGTGTAGCAGCAGCTGCAGCATCAGCAGCAACCGCTGCATCAGATGCAGCAGCAACTGCAGCATTAGCAGCTGCTGCGGCACCAGCAGCTGCAGCAGCTGCAGCCAGCGTTGCAGCAGCAACAGGTGTAGCCGTAGCAGTCATAACAGCAGCATCTACTACAGCAGCAGCATCTACTACAGCAGCAACAGCAGCTGCAACAGCAACAGCAGCTGCAGCAGCAACAGCAGCTGCAGCAGCAACGGCAGCTGCAGCAGCAGCATCTGCTACAGCAGCAACAGCGGCTGCAACAGCAACAGCTGCTGCAGCAGCAACAGCAGCTGCAGGACCAGCAGCAGCAAGCGTAGCACACTCTACTGCAGCGGTAACGACAGCTGCTGCAGCTGCAGCAGAAGCTGTAGCAGCGGCACCTGCTGCAGCAGCTGCAGCAGCAGCATCTACCGCAGCAGCAACAGCAGCAGCAGTTGTAGCAGCAGCAGCAGCAGCTGTTGCAGCAGCTGCAGCAGCCACATGGGGGTTTTGTTTGCAGCAACTGCTTCTGTCGAAAGTTTCGTCTTGTCAGTGGTTTAGGGTTTAGGGTTTAGCCGTAGGGGTGGTTGAGCTGCGGGTCGCTAGGGTTTAGGGTTTAGGGTTTAGCGAGGAGAGGCCTAGGGACTCCCGACTTTAGGGTTTAGGGTTTAGGGTTTGGGGTTTGGCTGTGCACACGGCTTCCCTGCGCCAGGTGTCTGTACACCTGAGTGCCGTAGCTTATTCTTTGCTGCTATTTTGCTGCTCTTATTTCTTAGCTCATTTCTTTTAGCAGCAGCAGCAGCAGCAGCAGCTGCTGCAGCAGCAGCA